GATAGAAAGCTATAGTTATGCCTGAAATCGAACCTATCACCTCAGAATGACCACAAACCCTCGCCACAGGAACAGGTGTCCTAAGACATGACCAACTAGATACCCACTGTAATTTACATTACGTGTCGCTAGATGCAGCTGAAAAAGTTTGGACGAGACTATCACCTTCACTTTTCCTTTACTATTACCTTATGAAAGGAGGGAGACTAGAAGGGTAGAATGTTAGACGGGCCTGCGTGCCCAATTCTTAACCCTTTGAAATTAAAATTCGTTGGTTCATTTTGCGTTTGCCTGTGAAAAGCAGATGGCACGTGTGCTGTGTTTAAAGCTATGCATTGAAATCTGCGCCTTTCGACCAAACACATTGAATTTCGGCAAAACCCGTTAGTCGCCTTTTACGACACGTCTGTTAGAGAGCATTGAGTCTATCCCACCCACCAACTTTTCCCACACAAGAGCTATGTAACCCGCACGAGGACTGGCTACCTAATCTCGTAGAAAGTGTCATTTGGAAAATCAAACTCATCGTCACACACACACAGAGACAAATCACGAGAAAGGACTTGAACTGGGAAACATTGTAGAGAATCCTTTTCTACGTCTTCAGGCGTATTGGGCATATAGTGTTAGACCTATAGACTAATCGGGAGTCAGTGGGTGATGTGATCACTTTTAGCTCCCTGGACTGCACCTGGTACCCTTTTAATGCTTGGTCCATCTAGGAGGCAAGATCGTTTAAGAAAGAAAAAAAAATTAATGTGGCTCCATTCTGGAATAAGTTGGTTGATGGTCTGTGCTCCTGTGAGAGGAGAGAAAAAATGTGTTTAGATTCCGGTCGTTGAATTTGCGATTGGGCGGCATCGACAAAGAAGTCAAGGGCATTTGAACTGGTTTGCATCTATGATAACGATAAGATTGCATAGGATATAACGGAATGGAGGTGGAGGACTAGCCGGCGAGCCCTGTGTGGCAGGTGACGGCCCAGCATGATGGTGTTAATGAAACGTCCTACTTCTTTTCTTATGGGGGATTTCGTGTTTGTGCGGGTGTGCCATTTTATTGTTCTTAAGGGTAATGTGTTGTGCTGTGTATGATCTATTATTAGCATACACAATAGACCTGTGACTTACAGATCCGTGCATACAATTATGATAGAGCCCTTTTCAGCGCCTTGAGGCTTTTTTGAGTAAATTGGTTTTAGCCTCACATATTTTGTTATAAATTAGTCAGCAGTGCTCAGTGGGTGGCGCTGTCAGTAATAGTCGGCCGCCTTTACCTACCAGAACAGTTATGGGAAGAATAAGCTATCATCTTGCTGCCAGCCGTTAAGCAAATAAAAAATTCAGAAACTTCCATTTCAGATTGGGCGGTCGGTGACAAACTAATAATAATAATAATTGTAGTTTATTTTACAATTTTACACGGCTTACATCTTATTGCTGATGTTACCAAAAATAGTAACAAGTAAAGGGCACTCTTCGCCCAGGCGACCAAGTAATGGACGCTTTCCACGACAGTGACCAATTGGGAAGCTGATGTTTGACTCATTGTATGTCAGATGTGCTACTGACATATAGAGGTTGCACTAATTGGACTTTTCACATATTATTTCTCATAACATTAAAAAGAAACGGGATGCGGTTTTCATTAACCATGTAACTCTAAGACTAAAGTTTGGTCTCTGATAAATTCATGGAGATATCTTGCATTCTTCTTAACTATTCACAGAGAATCCCCCTTATCTCTCCCCCCCCCCCCCCCCCCCTTTCCACCATAGCTTGTATTGAGAGTGTGTGAGAGAGAGAGAGATAATGGGGTTACTGAACTGTGCTAGTATACTTAATTTTCTATCTTTCATTTCTCCCTGGAGCATAGACCCTTAAACAGCTCATACTAGGTATTCTGTAGATTTGTTCACTTGGAATTTCGCAGCTGAAATTTTATAATGGTATAAAATAACCATCATCAGTCACTCCACCCTCCTTAGTACCATTTCATGCATGGTAGGTTATGGATTGGAAACGTGAACTAAAACAGTTACTAATAAACTACAATTATTAATTAACTGGTAACCGGGCAATTAAATGGTATAATAGGATCACTGATTTGGAGCTTTGTGAGAGAATTAAATTTAACAAATGCCAATGCATCTACCGGTGAAGAAAAGATGCTGAAAGGTGAGAATTCATGAGAACAGTATAATTGTCATTGCATTGGAACCCACAGAAGCATAGAAATAAAAGCAGACAAAAAACACACACAGGAAAGAACTAGATGGAAATTTTAAAAAAGATGAGGAGGATGTGGTGTGAACTGCATGCAAATGGCAAAATATAGGATGACTTGTTGTGAGTCTGTTCTTTTGGTGCTGGTGGGGGAGGTGGGTTAAGGAACAAAATAAGAAGGTTAGTGTTACTATACTTCCTTTGTGGGCTGCATTGAAGTTAATAATCTGAAAGCTTTTCCATGAGTTTGAGAAGGAAGACGGATTAAAATTTTACCCCTTGATGGTGAATCAGAAAGCCTTGAGCATTTTGAGAGTCACATTTGTCTTCATGTTTAGTAACTGTTTGTTATTTGTTGGTCAAACTTAAATTAAAAAATTAGTGTGTCATTTTTAACTGAACTTTGCAGTGCTATGAAAATTAGTATTCTTGCTTCGAAGTCGACCAGGTGACGAACTCCTTGTGGTCCGAGTTCACGCCCGGGTGTCACTATCACTCCTGTCGCGTGCCTGATTTAAGGATTTTTCCTTAAGAACCAACAGCACTCTGAAATAATTAAGTTGAGTCGTTGGCTCGTATTGGTCTAAGGGATGCCCCATGGCCAATATACGCTCAACTTATTTCAGGAGTAGGGCAACTCAAGTTTTGGCACTACAAAATATATATTATTCCTAGGCACACTTGGCTGGACACCCCCACTACTATAAAAAGATAGCCCCCCAGATTATGATAGTCTACTATCATAACCATGTTGACACAGATAAATATCATTAATTGAACTTACATGTATTTTAGACATCTAAGAACAATGAATGAGTGACACTGCAGTCAATAGTGAAACTTTAGAAATACTGTAATAAGTGTAACACATACATTATATAAGAATCAGCAAAGAACTTCAAGAACCCAGAGTGATATGAAGGACCAAAACTTCAACTATATCTGACTGCACGTGTATGAATGTTCCAGAGTCTGCCTACATCATCCTTATGATGAATGTGAACATTTAATAGTGAAGCCTGGCAATAAACCCATGATTGCCCACACTTATCTGAATCCCTGGTTTCTTGAACTGGCCGGATGTTCAGTCACTCTGTTGTTATGTTCAAGACAGTCCAGCACTAGACACTCGAACACTGGAGATACACCCAAGCTCCTGGAGAGGATCTCAGGTACCAAGTCAAATACTTGAGGCACAAACAAACTGCCGGATAATTGATGGTGGAGGTACAACACCCATAATGTTGTCTGTAGACCAACTGGAGGATTTCACTACTTGATGACCACAGTTAGGTTCACCATCTGATGCCCACCACTGGCTTAGACATAGGTGACTTCCTTGTAGGTGGTTTTGTGGACTGCTGATTCACTCCAAGGAGATATCATCCTGTTTCAAGAAGGAACTCAGAATTAGCAGTAATCTCAGGGGTTACATGTCAAGCTCAGTTTATCAACATCCACATTAATAATCATTCAGAGGACAGCTCTGGGGATAATGAGACAGTTTAAGTCTCTACATATCATCTCTATTGTTCAGTCAGTAACAGTGACAGGAGATGAGTGTCAGAGTGGAGACAGATAAGACTATAAAACAGAGAACATCAACTCTCTTCGCCCACCCGCACTTGTAGACACACATCCCATCTCTCTCTCATATATATATATTTTATACCCTCCCCCCTCTGTTCACCGTACACACTTTGTTGTGCTAAAATTAACCTTTGACTCGGAGCGCCGAACTTGCGTTTGTCACAGCATCAAGCCGGCTAAATATGACCCAGTTTACATGTGTCTATTAGTCGATACAAATCCTACATTTGGTTATAGAATAATTACCTGTAGGGTTTAATATCTTTACAAATGGTGTGGGTTATGTAGAGCACAAACCATTTAGTCTGCACAGGGAAAGGGTTTGATGTTCGGAGCCTGATCTCTGGACATCAAGAACGGCCCAACTCTGTGCGATCACACAGCTGAAACTATCCTCTATGCAGCAGTGGCCAACTTTAAAAAGACATATTTTATGGTACTCGTAAACTATAATCAACTTACCCAAGCTTAGGAAATGTCCTAGACACCAAAGGCCGCCTCCTCAAAGCATAGATGTACGAGGCACAGTTAAGAACATCTGTTCTTCTAGGCAGTCAGGCAGAAAATGTTCGCTTCAAACTACGCTTGGCGTCACTAGGAAAGAAGTTCCTTGTATTCATGAACAAGGAGTAAACTGGTTTACAGGAATTTCTAAATAAAATACCAGAAATCGCCAACCTACAGTTGCAAGTTTGAAAATGAAGATATATCATAGCAACTAGAAGGTCTAGAAATGAATATTTTACCAGATAAAGGTATAGATCAATATAAGGGACTATAAACCTTTCCGGAAGGGTCTAAGTTTGAAATTTTGATGAGCGCGAGGGATATCAAGTCGTAACTCGTCCACTGTGTATGGTGGCTGCTCCTCTCACGACACCGGGGGTAGGCAGAAATTCCACATTTCGCCCAGATTTGCGGTATCTATCATGGAATCAAATCCGAAGGGTTGCAATAATCATAGTACCGAGCCAAAGGGTTTAACAACTCATGGTTTCTGGATACTAATAAAAATCAATACAAGCTTCTCAATATTACTTTTTTGTTATTTAATTTGGGATGCACTTCAACAAATAATGTTATTTTGTACCTATTTTATCTTCCTGTAAGGTGCAGCATGGGGTTGAGTGACTAAAGCAGGTGGAATGGCTGTTTGACTTGTAGGACAGAAACAGTTATATCACAATGGCTGGTAAGATTAAAGCCTTGCAGCAATGGTGTCGAAAAATGACCGAAGGGTACCCTCGTGTGGATGTTGCTAACTTTACAACAGCATGGAGGGATGGTCTGGCTTTTTGTGCCATAATTCACAGGTTCAGGCCAGATTTGATGTGAGTGTAAAAAGGATGCTTTTTTTGTAATGAAAGACATTGCTGACATTTTTTTTTTTTAAATAAAGTCTGTTTTGTTTGTTGAGCATTCAAGTGTGTAAGCAATTGACTTCTATTGTACTGCAGATGTACAAGAATGTTTTTCTTTTTTCCTTTTTCCTTCCACTGATTTGCTGATGGGATAACTTGGAAATTAAGTATAATTCTAAGTATCTATCGCAGAGCCAGACGGGCACACACATACACATTCACTTACATACATGTTCTTATTTTGTCTTATATTTAAGTTTATATCTACATATTATGTACAAACATATGTGTGTTTTTGCATGTGTCTGTATGTATGTTCGTAGTATTTACATCATAACATACATACATACATACATACATACATACATACATACATACATACATACATACATACATACATACATACATACATACATACATACATACATACATACATACATACATACATACATACATACATACATACATACATACATACATACATACATACATACATACATACATACAACGAAGACATATGGCCACCCCACCTCATTATGCTAGTTCCTAGAACAGGGCTATTCAATTGGCGGCCCGCAGAGGCCTAGCAAGTGGCCCGTGGACCACCTGCTAATTTTACTGCACTAATAATCTTTCTATGCTGGAGTTCAGGCTGCTGGCCCACAACGATTCCCATTTTCCATCATTTTGGCCCCTGAGTCAGTTAAGTTGAATGGCTCTGGTCTATAATATGTAAAGGCTTAACATTTCACACTGCGATGGTGCTCTTTTTAGCAGCATCTGTGATAAAAATTACACCAGTAAAAGTCCTGTTTCCTTGACTTGTGACATATTGCACAAGTAGTTCTATCCTCATGGTTTTCATAGACCACATGCCACCCAATGGATGATGTCTTAACATTTACGCCAGGTGCCTTTACTTCCATTTAACATTTCCTGGCAGTTTTATACGTTTGTCATTGAAACCTAGATCAGATACAAAATTGTTCCACTTCAATGGGATTTAAACACAATCACCTTGTCATCAGCTACCCACCTCCCCACCATGCTACAGTAGCTAGAAGTACAGATTCAACTGCTAAATGTTATTATATTATATTGTATTATTTATTATAATATATTGAATTCTAGCCAAGGTATTTACTTGATAAATGTGCTTCTCTTCTGCAGAGACTTTGACTCATTGTCACCTGAGAATGTATTTGAGAACTGTAAAATGGTAAGCATTGATTTTACTTGTATAATTCTGTGTATTGTTGTTAGTTGGGAGTTCTGTCTGGTCTACCAAAATGTTGATGTCATTGTTATGCTGAGTTAGTTTCTAAATATTTCATGTACGTGGTCTCTTCCACTTACAACCAAGTTCCATTGAGACTAACAGGTTGTAGTTTTGAACTGGTCATAAGTCAAAAGTGTTTTATCACCAATATTTTAATTCAAATGGGTTATAGAAACTGTACGTGAAACTCAAAAATCTGGTCTGTGTACAGATAGTTTTTGTACATAATGTGAAAAATATGTACTCGTTTGCATCACTTCTGGAAAAAGTTTTGACTAATTGGTTATAACAATTTTTTACATAAAACGCAAAAATTCATTCTATATAATATAATTATTGTACATAATGGGGAAAATACATAATATATATGCGGTTGCATCAGTTATGAAAACTTTTTTTTTACCATAGGGTCATGTAGTTATCTTTCTTTATTGACTAATTTGATAATGGTCATACGTGCAAATGGTAATAAATTGCATAGGTCGTAAGACAAGGAGTAGGTGCATTATTAAAATATTGATAAGCACATAAAAACATATGGCTGTTATCCTTTGACATTGACAGATTATTTACATTAGTCATACACCATAAATGGGGAAGCCTTCCAATCCTTTAAGAGTTAAGTTGCATCTTAGAAGCAATTCAAAGTGTTTTAAAAGCTATTGATAAATGTACATGATTCTTTTATAATTGTTTGAACTTTTTTTTTAGGCATTTGAGGTTGCAGAAAAAGAACTCAGCATCCCAGCATTCCTTGAGGCGGATGACATGGTCAGACTAAAAGTGCCAGATAAACTCAGTATTATTACATATGTGTCCCAGTACTACAATTATCTCCATTCTCTCCCACAGCGTACGTCATACACATACTTGTTTTAAGTTTTTTAAAATTTTTTTAAATATAGTTTTGAAATGGTGAAAATGCTGATGATTTCTTTTTTCTACTCCTCTTTTTCTTCCTCCTCCTACTTCTTAATCTTCTTATTCCCTGTGTGGGTTTCGGGGCTCCAATTTGAAAAACAAAGAATTCACCCACTGTTTGCACCTTCACCCCCAAAGCATGTCGTATGAGGTGACTGATTAGAATTGTTTCCTTCAATGTCTGAGTGCATCAGCCTGAGATACAAGGAACTGATATTCGGCATACAGATAAGCCAGATCTTTAAAACTGCTGTGCGGGCAAAACTCAAGTTTGGATCTAGACCAAAGTCCAGGAGTGGATGAACAACCAGAACTTTCCACCAGAATTTACAGCTGGGGAACACCAAGAAGAAAAATCTGCTTATACTTATTCTCTCTCTTCTTCCTCCTGTTGCTGCTGCCACTACTCTACTTTTTTTTTTCCTTATTCCACTGTTTCTTGTTCTGTCTTTTGTCTCTCAGTAGAGCATGGGGTCTCAGCCAGCTCACACAGCTCTTTGTAGACAGGATGATAATTGGTTGGATTCTACAGCTAAAGTATTCTGCCGAATGAAGTAGCAGTCTCACACCCGCCATTGTGTTTCCCCTTATGACATCATAGAAGGCTCCAGTAGCACATTGAAAAAACTTTATATTATGGCAGGACAGGCCAGGCCTCATAGCCTTGATCGGCAGCTGGTCTAGGAGGGAAGCTCTAACAGGCGGACAAACAGAACACTGCTCTTCTGTTCCAGCAGCTTCTGTAGCATGCTGTGTTAAAATGTACTGGTTTTACCTTTCCTTTGGAGTAAACAGGGCATGCCAAGAAAAGATGCATGCTGCATGGACAACATATAGTCTCTACAATACTGCTCACTCTTTGTGCTATGTGCTATGGAGAGGAGGAACCTCATCCATGGCCCTAATTGGTCTTGCTAGTCACACTCGGCTATGTCCCATCCCTCCCCTAAAAAGCACAATATAACACCATTGTTTTAAAAGCCAGAAAGGTGCCAAAGAGCACACTGGCAAAACAGAATATGGTGCTTTTACATATTTTCATAGACTAGTTTTCATATGATAAGTGATTGTAGTAGCTATCTTAATACATCTTTATTTCCCATGAAATGTAAGACAAAAATTTTTAGGCTAGGTTGACCTGGGAGTCCACAGGGTTAAAAAAAGAATGCTCATTTTGATGTTGAATATATGACCTTTGGGCTGGCTAGTAAGTATGGCTGACTTTGCCTTCTATTTGGCATCTATAAGGGTGTCTCTGGAGTCTGGACATGCAGGCAGAAATACATATTTTTGAGAAATGAAATTTATTATTAACATTTTATATGGTTGGAATATAAAATGTCTTCATTATGATTTCCATAATTTGTGACACACATTTTGATGGCCTTTAGAAAATTATTTAACTTTTTAATTTCCCTTTACACTGTAATATTGTTGTATGCATTTTTTAATAGATTTTTTAAAGTTGAAAGTTCTTTTTACATTGTAATATTGTTGTGTTTTTTGGTCTTATATAAAGCTCTTTTAATGTTATTGTGTTTTTCTATCTTATATAAAGTTTAAAGTTGTTTTTATTGCATTATCATATTGTTGTGTTTTCTGCCTTATATAAAGTAAAAGTTTTTTATGTTGTAATATTGTTGCTTTTTTTTTTTTGTAAGTACAACAGTTTACAAGAAATTATTCTTGAATTTTCAAACCATAATGTTTTATTCTAATATAGTTGGTGGTCCCGGTGTGAAGTCTAAAGTGTCTGGAAAGACTGTTTCAGGCGTAAAAAGACCAACAGATTCTGATTCAACACAAGGTCCCATTTCCAAAAAGGCAACAACTGTAGAAACTAAAGAAAATGCAGCACCAGTGAGTTGAATTAATCTGTTTGTTTGTAGGTAACTAAAAAAAAATTGGAAAAGGTAAATGGAAAAGTTACCATACGATAAAGAAGTAAGATTGGTATCACTGAACTTGTGTTGAACTTATAAGTGCTCTCTCTCTCTCTCTCTCTCTCTCTCTCTCTCTCTCTCTCTCTCTCTCTCTCTCTCTCTCTCTCTCTCTCTCTCTCCCCCCCTCTCTCTTTCTTTCTCTTTTTCTGCCCCTGCAGATGTCAAAATGTGTACATGCAGTATTCTGGTTAGCTATTTCAGAACCATGCTTCAGTGTGTTATGTATCACCAGTTCTGTACTCAGCTCTTTACAGCTGATCCCAGAAGTTGTAACTAAGACCATTCATAAAGAATGTATTATTACAACACTGGGGTGTAATTTATGACCAGCAATATATCCTCTCTATTTTAAGTTTTGCAACCTATGATGTCTTTAAAGCTTCAGCTGTCTTTTTTCTGTCTATGTCTGCTGCTTCTTTTCCATTCACCACCATGACAGTAGATCCAGACAAGTTCTTGAAGTTTTGAAATGTATACAAGGAACAACCAGCCATGCCATAGCTGTTCTTTCTAGCCTTTCTTAAGTGTGGAATCGGAGACAAGGATTACTAATGGTTACTCTTTTAAATGATACTGAAAGCCATTTCATTGCTACAGTAGCAGTCCTAATCTCCAGTCACATAATTAAAGTGGTTTTTAACTCTTCTTACAGAAGGACAGTTAAATTACTTATAAATTGACACAGAAGAGTTAAACCTTCTGTTCTAGCCAGTAGTTTAAAGTTAATCTCATCATCCATTTACGTGCATGCATGTGCCCATACTTGCACATTCACATACATACTTACTTACACACACACTGAGCTGTTAAGTGTTGGCTGGGTTGAATCCAGAACTGTAATTATTGAGCAAAATTTTGCTGCTGCTGGACATCTGAACCAGCTCATTATTGTATGTACAACTGTGTTAACATTGGGGGGGGGGGGGGGGGGGGGGGGGGGGGGGGGGGGGGGGGGGGGGGGGGGGGGGGGGGGGGGGGGGGGGGGGGGGGGGGGGGGGGCGGGGGGGGGGGGGGGGGGGGGGGGGGTGGGGGGGGGGGGGGGGGAGGGGGGGGGGGGGGGGGGGGGGGGGGGGGGGGGGGGGGGGGGGGGGAGGCAGGAAAAAAATGAGCTAAAGATATATATATATATAATAATAATAAGCAACACAAATGTAGTAGATTGTCAGACTTTCTATTCAGTAATCTAAAACTTTCTGGATGTTTGGAGATAGAAGATACATTTTATGTAAATTTATTTGCAGATCAGTTACTGCAATTGGTATGTGAAATGTTATGCCAAGACATATAAGGTGTGGTTGGCAGTTACATTCCTCTTTATTTTTCATTCCTAGAAATTCGAAAATTATCTTTTACCTTTTTCTTTGGGGCTTGGTCAGCCTTAGAGCCTTATTGGTATAGGAAAATTAATCATCCTGGCTCTGCTGGGGATTGAATCTTGACTGCTGTTTTGGCAGGCACATTAACTAATTAATCATGCTACCATGACTCATATGAATTAGGTTTTGTATTTGAAAGTTTGGTGTTATTTTGCAAGAGCATTCTTGTAAAGATTGTTTTAGTTACTGTATAACTTCTTCTTCTTTTGTCCTTCTGCTTATGCCATACTGTTGAAAAGAGATAGATATACTTTACTGTCTTTTGCAAGTTACTTAGCTTATGTTAATGTCATATTACCTGTTTGTAATGTCTCTTTTACTCACTCCACCCATCTCTTTCTTGGTCAGCTTCTTGACTTGTAGGCTGCTGTTCTCATGTTGTTCATTCTAACTATCACTGTATATCATCCACCTTTAATCCTTTGTTGACATTGAGTGTCTCTGTATTTCAGGCAAAAGTAGCAGCCACAGTCGGAGGAGACAGATGTGGGATCTGTCATGAACATGTGTATCTGATAGAGCGGCATATGGAGGATGGCAAACTGTATCACCGATCCTGCTTTCGTCGAAGTGAACTGTCGCCTGCTAACAAAGTCTATACACGATCACCTTTCATGTCACCATCCCTTAGCTCTGAGGCTCAGAAGCTAGTAGTCTCCAAAGCAGAGAACAAAACCAATCTTTTGTCTAAAGCAGACAGAGATGGCTTAGTCACCAATCTTCAAAGACATATGGATAATCAGCCAGCAAAGGCTGAATCTGACACAAAATTATCCAGAAAACTGGATTTTGTTGGATCAAAGCATCCAATTGATGAACCAGTTAGAGAGGATACTAAGAAATCCAAAATGCAACCAAGAATTTTGTTTGACGAAGAAACTAGAAAAGCACCTACTGAGAAAGAAAAGTCTGCTGCATATTCAAGTAAACAGAGTAACGAGGTTAACAAACTGCTTCCACTTTCCGGCAAAGAAGCACATAAATTGGAGAAAAGGCAAGATGATATTGGGTCAGAAAAGGCATTAAAGGAGCAGCCTGGCAACACTAAGTTGAATATTTCTGTCTTCTCTCAGCAAAAAAATAAAACAACACAAGAGATTCCAGCACCAGCTGTATCTATGCCAGCAAATAACAAATCACAGAATAAATCTGACAATATTTCAGGGGCTTCTAAGATATCTGTTGCTGCATTATCACTTCAGCCACTCACAGAGAGTTCCCAGTCTAAAAATAAATCTACAACTGGTAAAGATAGTCAGAAGATATCAAAAGAGGCAGAGAAGCCTGCAGTTAGTAAAGACATTCAGAAGTCTTCGGATAAGAAGAATGTAGATATTGCTACATCAAAATCAAACCTGTTGCCAGATATACACAATCTTCAGAAATTATTCTCTGGTAAACCAGCAGACACTGGTGAGTCTGCTGCACCAAGTTATCCTAAAGCCAAACCTCGAAATAGCACAATTAGGTCAGAAAATCAGGAATCCAGTAAAGATATGATGGCAACTAAACCAAATGAGAATGAAACTGCGAGACCTAAACCTGTACCTCGCAACAGTGTATTGGGTATTTCAGCTCCTCAACAGCCAGAATTATCTTCTCAGATTAAGAAATCTGCTTTTAAAACGGAAGCTAGTGACAGATCTTCAGCATCCAAACCCCTTGTTGCTGGTATTTCTCTGTCGGTTTCCAATAATGCTCAATCCCAGCTTTCCACTTCTACCACGTCTTCACCATTTGACAGTACTTACAAAGCATCATCTACTGAAAAGATTTTATCTGAAACCAAAATATCCATCACAGGAAAAAATAAAGATGAACCTAGAAATATTCCTTTGATAAATCAGCCACACAGCCTTCAGCAGAAAATTGGTGCAAATAAAGTCATAAATCAAAACAGCATTGATTTGAAATCGGCAAATAAAAGTGGTCATGCAAGTGTTTTGAATGTTTCTAATGTGATAAAGACAACAGCTACGACCAGTCTTTTGACAACTATGTCAGACTCTTCTGTTCGTACTACACTAACCCCTGCCAAACTTCAGTCATCAACTCCATTATCTCAAGTACAAAGTGAAAACAAGTTCATCTCATCGTCTAGAAATCCAGTAAATAAGACAGTAAATGACCCACCATCTTATTCAGGTAATTTAGTCTCTCAGACACAAATGGCACACTCTTCAGCTGGTGTAAACAACTCAGTAAAGTTGATGGCTAATGGAACTCAATCCACTAAAAAGGTTGACAAATCTGTAGTAACTCAGATGTCCAAAGATTCACCTAAAACAGTTGTCAATACACCCAAGCTACAGACCCCAAACAAAATGCAAGAAGCATTAACTGTTTTTAGCTCGGGAAAACCTATGAGCGGTGCATTTGGCATCACATTCACAAACAATAGTGCTAAGGAGGATGCTAGTCTAACCAAACCTGAGAAAGTGAAGGACAGTTCATCTAAGCCAGCACTGTCCCACATTACTGACATCCACAGTAAAGAAAAAACTATCTCAGACATACCATCACAAAACAAAAATCAAAACAGGCAAGCGATACCTTCTAGCAGTAATTTGCTTAACTCGAAAGACAACCAACAGAAATCTGCAGTCAAAACTAGTCAGTCTGATTCCAAGCAGACAGATAAGCATGAATCAAAAGGCTTATCATCTGTTAAGAAGAGTGCAATTTCTATTAGCAAGGAAGACATTCTGGACATCAATAATATTAAGCTGAAACGTGTCATGCCAGAACAGAGAGAGGTTCAAAATGAACAGAAAACCAGTATGTATGATGTTAAGCTAAAGAAGGTTGATGTCATTAAAGGTGACTCCAAGTGGGACAGCAGTTCACAGAAACCTTCACGGTCAGTAGATGTAGCAGGAACTGGTTATGAGCAAAAAACTGCAGGTTCTTATTTTTCCGGTGGTGAAATAAACAATGAAGTTTCATCAAACAAAGGGATGGACACAAAAGCAGCTGCTTTGTCTGCAGGAGTTTCCAATTCACATACAACAACAACACAGAAAATGACATCAGAGATGCCTCAGTGGAAGAAAGCTGCAGAGGAAAAGCAGAGGAAGTTAACAGATATTGTAGTCGGTTCTGAACACAAAACTGACAATGTGAAGCATTTAAAACATAACGATAACATTACAGCAATCACATTTGACAGCAAAACAGGTCTAACTAGCAATGGAAAAACTAATAAACGTGAACATGTTTCTGTGGGAGTGCTGTCACTTCTGAAAACACCCAGTGAAACTGCCTCAACAGAAAAGGAACCTGCAAAAGCTTTGACAACACAGAAATATGTAAATAAGGTCCCACCCACAGCTGAAGATCCAGGTTTGGTCAAGAAACTTGACTGGCAGCTGGAAGCAGAGAAAAGAATGGCTGCAATAGCTAATTTTGATAAAGGGATAATTGGAAAATTAGAAATTACTGAGAAATCAGAGACAGCCTCTTCAGATCGTTCAGGAAATCAGCAATTACAAAGAAATACAGCAGCTCATAAAATGCCTAAAGATAATAAAAACAATGACAGTATTAGAATAAATGGTGAGACAGTAACAGGCAGTAATAGAGTTACAGAGAAAACAACTACACATATGTTAGAAAAGAGTGTAGTGAAAGCAAAAGAGACAGAACTTAAAGTTACTGTTAACAAATTGAAATTGACACCAGTGCAGGAAATCAGCAAGGAGGTTGAACTGTCTATTGATACAAAGCAGACCAACAGTGAAGAGACAGAAGATTTCAGACAGGTTTTACACCAGCTAAAACATGTCACAACAGAAGACACTGGAAAGATAGACTCAGCAAAGCCAGACAGTGAAACATGTTTACCTTCCAGACAAACAGCACATTATGTACATACTCCAACTGCTCACAGAGCAGTTCCAAACAGTACTGTGAACAAGAACAACAATAACAACCAAAATATTCCAGATAAAAGTCACATTTCAGACATGCATAACACACAAGTGTTGAATAAAAATACAAGCTTGTCTGTCAAGACACCCGAGCTGGAGGATTTGGCTGACGAGAATGGAAATGTGAGAAAAAATGGCATATTTGAAGTGTCTGAGAATAAGCATAGCATGGGAAAAAGCAGGTTTGCCGAGAAGGGAAATACATCACCCAAAGTGAAGAGAAAGCTCTCCATTCCGGACAATAAGGTAATTTTATGTTGAAGCTGATGGTTGATTGTATTATTTGCTTATTTGATTTCTTTCTAGAGTTGAATTCATGTGTGCTTTATAGGCACTTACATTCGCCTGTCAATCTGAATGTCATTGGTTCGAATCTGAATCGTGTCGGGCATTTTTCAGAAATGACATTGGCTCCCAGGTTGACCCAGCCTTGATTGGGTACCAGGTAAAGTCCTGCAAAGTAAAGGTTGCTGGCGTGATGTTCAGCACATCACCCACCGAGTACCTATTGGTTTGTATAATATAGGTCTAGCCCTGTATGCTCGATACGCATGTAAGGGTCGTTTACTTACCTTACTTTTCTAGGCATTTGTTTTCAGCAGTGAGAGTTCAACAAGAAAGTGATGATTTCAAGCTTATCAGTATTTCAGCAAACGGCAACAGATAAAATGGTTTGTCCATGTGTCATGACTACTGGCAGACTGTTTCACAAAAATATCTCTCAGATGCCAATAGTCAAGTGTTTAAGCTTATGATTATTTATTATGCCTCTGAAAAATCCCTTACCTTGCCGGGATTATGCACCACACTCTGAGCTCTATATACTAATCCAGAGCTTTCTAAACTTATCACGTTAGCGACATACTTTTTAGATTATCACAATTTCACCACAGTAACTCAGTAAATTAAAGTGTTTTTTTTTTTTCAAGTATCCAGAAACCATGAGTTGTTAACCCTTTGGCTCGGTACTATGGATATCCCAACCCTTCAGTACTGATTCCATGATAGATACCATCAATCTGGGAGAAATATGGCTTTTCTGCCTACCCCTAGGCGTGAACCCGGACCACACGGAATTTGTTACCCGGTCGCCATGCAGTCCAGTTTAAAAAGGGGGTTAAACTAACCCCTTGTAAGAGATACAGATATGTTTGCACGACAGTTTGGAAAGCTCTTTGATAGGAACAACTACTCCTATATTTAAATAAATTTAGTAATGCATTTGTGACTTTTGAGCAATGGTACAAGAGTTGCACTGTGGAAGAGATGAGGATTTCACCATGCTGTATTCTTTCAGGTGGCAGTGGATGCACAGGTCAACTGCAGTCAACCTCCATTGTGGAGGTGGAACTAATTTTATTTATAATAATCTGTACTGATTACCCACATCAGAAGGAGACAGTCTACATTCTTTGGTCCTTGTCAAGAGAATGAGAAAACTTGAATACATCATAATGGTAGGAAAATTTGAGGGGAAGAAGTGGGGGGGGCAGATGGAGACTGACAGCTTGACATCCAAGCATTAAAGATCATTTCTGTCAAAAATGATTGAAAATACAAGAGGGCAGAAGGCTGTTGATAGAAATAACTACCAGTGTCATATAGCAATGAATATAAAAAGAAGAAGAATCTTGTTATCTTTTTCAGTAACCACTGCCTATCCTTACATTACAGACTAGGGAAATGCCATCGCCCTCATCTCCTACACAAAGAAAGAAAATTCAGATCACCTCCAGGTTTGACTTTGAGAAGAGCTCAGATTTTGAGCACAGTCTAATATTATCTACAGCAGAGCTAACCATCACAGAAAATCCTACCCCAGAAAAACTGATGTCTTCTCCATCCAGCCAGGTGACGGTATGTTGTCTAAGGAACTGACTTGTCTATCTGTATTCTTGTTGATTGTTATGAGAAAGAATAGACTCAGGAACTTTGTGAAAACTGGCAAGATTGATAGGAAAAAAGAGCTAGAAGAAGGTAGAGAGATAAATATGTGAACTGCTTGGCCATATAGATGGTGGAGGGGGGGGGGGGGGAGAAAAAACATTGACCTGAGCTTTGATGCTGGTGATCATTTGAGATAGTAGTACATGACAGCCCAGCTTTATTGGCATCACACAGGAAGATGGTTCTTGTAGATAAAAAAATTCTACCTAAATCTCTCTTCTATTTTTCCTAGTCAAATCCTGTAGGTTATCATTCTTTATGATGTCTTTCTATCATCAAAATTAATATGCAATTTTTAAAACGTAATATTTGAAGAATGAAATGGACAGAAATCACAAGCAGTAACTGACATGGGAAACATATAAATTGCTGAAGCAAAGAATTCTAAAAGAAACTCTACAAGGAATGTTGATGAGAGAGTCCTGAAGTTCTGTACTGGATTCCACATACGACTATGAAAGGACTGCACATGATTTAATGGAATGGAGGAACTGACTGAAAATCCTAAATAACATATAACCAGCATGGCAAGATGATGAAGGTGGTCATATTTGGAGATAATTGAATTGAAAAGAGTTGTTGAAAGAAATCAACAGATTTGTGAAATAATTTGTTGACATTTACTTATGTTACACTCTTATAAACATCATGCTGGAAGGAGAAGTTGAAGACTTATAAACAAAAGGTAGATAATGATACAAATGAGAGGGCGACATGAAGAGTTACATGAAAGAATTTGCAACCAGGCTGAGAGTTTTGGAAATCCATTGCCACCAGCCTTAATTGTGGAGATTAATGATATTATACCTTGATGTCTTTCTTTCTGTCTGTTCTTTTTATTTATTTGTGCTTTTATTCTAAGATTTGTATTGCATATTGTCTGATAGTGCATATTATCTAAATATAAATCATAAAAATGTTTTAACTTTGTTTATTAAAAAAAAAACACAAATAATAAAAATCCCATCCCTGGAGGGAAGAAGACAAAAACACTGACAATTGGTTGTTTTGTTATTGGCACTTTATGGTCTTTTCAGATGATAGTGTTACATTGTGCTATAGAGGCATAGAATCAGAGCCCGTAGCAGTGATGAATGTGACTAGCAAGACCTGCTGTTGTTTTTAAAAAAGTCTACCACACTTAGAGCAAGGAATGTTGAGATCATTGCTGCCATAGCTTTTATTTAGCAATCTTGTCAGACGCTCGGCTCTTAACCTTTCTGCAATCTTTGTCTTCTTTATTACCTTCCTGGTTTTCCCTGTCCATGGCATCCTGTTCCTACAAATCCACCTAATTACCTGTACCAGTCATGTCCCACTTGTAGACAGCTTTATGTCATAGTAGAGGCTGACCCCAACAACTTCTACCTATCAAAGAATGTGCGAGCTTATTGAAATATGCATATTGTGAGAGGTTACTAAAGGTAGTGTTGAACTTGGCATTAGCCATGCTAAATTTAGCTAGAAAAGCCAGTCGGCTGAAGTTGGTTTAAGGTCTATGTTGCATTGGTAGGATGAAAAGCGAAAGAGAAAAGTAATAATTGTTTTGCTGTAAATGATTCTAGATTCATTTATCACCATTGGTTTCCTTTTTCAGCTGAGTCCACAGCATATTTCTGCCATAGAGCTACAACAGCAGCTGCACAATATCGACACCAGACTCACAGAGCTAGAGCTCAAGGGACGTGAACTTGAAAACTCCATCAGAAAGGGTAATTGTCTGCTATCTTTCTTTAAAATAACTTTTGTAATATTTTTTTAATTAAAAAATTTCAAGATTTGTGTTTTAACAGTGACATTATGTATACTCTGAAAACATTTGTTAAAATTATTTCTCAAACAAATGCATGTTGGATATTCCCCTTGCATCCCAACCGTTACACATAGTTCTCATAAATTGTACATGTGGTTGGAAAGTTCAAATGAAATCTGCTGTGTGAACATCCCATCTGAAAGTATTTATTATATCTTATTTTTGTATAGTAATTTTCCTTTCCTTGGACAGCTACCAAAACTTTTAGGGGCTGATAAAATTAAAGTGATGGTGGTGCAATGATTTTGTCAATAATGACATTTTAAATTATGCATCTATTGAAAAATGACTGGGTTTATGTTAACATTTTGTTAGACAGTCATTTCAGTTTGTATTATGTATCTGTTATTTAAGATGTTCTTGTAAAATAAATAACTGCATTTTTCACATGTTATTACAGCCTTCTGAATTTATTTACATTAGGGTACATTGTTTCATTTATTTTAAAGCCTAACATTGAGGACAATTGCATAGCTCTTATGATTTTAGCATCTTCTCAACCATTTAATATTAGAGTGAATTTAAATAATATGGACACAAACAATATATTGGCACAGTATAGTAGCAAAATAATGAGATTCTCAACATAAGAACAAGAACACACATATACTCACACTTTTAATCTCAAACCCTTTCTGTATTTTATGTTTTTTTTTTTTAAATGAAGTGTTAACGCCTCCCAAACCGTGACCAATATACGGGTTAAATTTTCATTTGTCATTATGTCTACAGTATTTAATTTAACAGTCACATTGGCAGCTCAGCTTATTGTGCCTTTCTTTATTATTGTGACAGTAAGTAAAAGTAAACTTTTGCTTGAGTTATACCCCTTAGAAATTTTCTTTTCCTATTATTTCCTTGAAAAGATAATTTAAAAAAAAATATATATTTCACTATTATCTTTCTTTAAACTCTGTATGTGTCTAAGACAGTACATTTATCTGTCTCCTATATTGTTAAATACTTCCGTTAGTATTAACAGGGGTTGCCTTGGGTGCACTTAGGGGTAATGACTAAAGACACAGCAGTGGTGGAGACAAAGATGAAGCAGAAGCAGGAGGTTAAATATATGTGTTTTAGTTTTACCCCTGTTTTCGCTAGGCTTACATACAGAGCAGCGAGGGAGACAAAGATGAGGCACAAGCAGGAGGTTAAATATATGTGTTTTAGTTTTACCCCTGTTTTCGCTAGGCTTACATACAAGGCAGCGAGGGAGACAAAAATGAGGTAGAAGATGGGAGAAAAAGACTGTTTTCACTATCACGGGCTAGGCCAGGCAGTTAAATCTTGAGAGAATGTGTGTGTATTTTTGGTGCATACATGGGGGGGGGGGGGGGGGGGATAAATTATGTAGTATTGCACCTGGTGAGATGCAGAGAAATACAAGGTATTGTTTCAGGCCTCATTATTTACATTAGGGAACATTGTTTTATAAATCTAAAAAATTTTAAGTGACTGCGTGGTTTGTATGGTTTTACTTTATTCCGTTATCGCCATCATCATCAATTTCAACTTTTGTCTTAAGCGTCGTGAGGAGGAATAGTTTGTGGTCCATTGCTTGATAAGTAACAATGGCTATTGTTTCCCTGTGTGATTTTTGGGGCCCTATTATAGGGAAACAAGAATAGACCCACTACCCTCCAAAAGCAAGTCGTAAGAATTGACTTATTGGGAGCTTCCTTCAAAGTTGGAGTGCACCTGCCTGAGAGGCAAGGAACCAGCAGCTGCAAGCAAATGAGTCTGTAAAATTGAAGCACTTGCAACACTCAGGTTCTGGGAAAAGACTTAAAGTCCACAAGTGGACGAACAACCAGAACTTTCTGCCGGCATTTACAGCGAAGAAAAAGAAGAAGAATGGCTGTTGTCTTTCTTTGTTGGTGTAGAATATCTGTCATTTTCCTTTCTTTCAGTCCTTGTTAGCATCAAGGCTTAGTTTTTTAATTTGGGTGAAGGCTTTAAATCTTTTTGTTGTTGTTGATTTTGTTGTTGTTGCTTTTGTCAGTTCCTGCTTTCCTCATGAAGGCATCATTTAAAATACCTAAATGTTGTGGATGGTCTCTTCTTGTGTGTGGATGTAAATGTTGAGCAAGTGATTAATTAATTATGAAGTAACTGGAGATAACATGATACCTGACAGGGTAGATGTTTTAAAGGCTCTTTGGGTGCGAGTGAACAATGTGAAAAAGCAAACAGATCATCATCGCTCTCTGGAGATTCCTTTGAAGTCACAATTCGTCTGCCTGCGAGTCAAAGAACCTGCAATCTGCTTAAAAAATAGCTGGCTATGTAAAATTAATGTGCACGCAAATCCCAGTTTTTGGAATAAGACCAGTTTCCAGAAGTGGACAAACTACCAGAAGTTTCTGCCAGCATCTACGGCGTAGGAATCGCAACCCGTGGTTGTGATGAGTACAGCAAGCAAGACCATCTAGCAGTAAGAAGTCTTCTGTAATTAGAACATGGGATTTCAATACCATTGTTACCATAGTATGTATTTGATGTTCGTCTTCTCAGATGCTCAGCTGTTAATCAACCTGCATCATTAAATTCAATTGACAATGTCACAGTTCTGAAGTGACGGGTCACATTTGCCTGTTAAACTTCATACCCACCAGTCTTCAGTTGAAATAACTGAAATGGAACAGTGTCACAGATCTCAAGTGTAACTCCATTTGTACCAGCGTTCAGATAGAAAAAAGACTCTTTTCTACACCTTCAGGTATCTTGGGCATATATGGCTAGACCTAAATATAAGGGACCAATCAGCGCTTGGTAAGTGATGTGGTCACATCCCTCTGACTGCCTTTACTTCCTAGGACTTTACCTGGTACCCATTCAAGGCTAGGTTAACCTGGGAGCCAAGGTCATTTTAAACAAAAATTTGGTGCTGTCAGGACCCGAACCCATGACCTTCCGATCTGCAGGGGAGCGTCTAGCCACTTTACCATGGCAGCTTCCTCTTACTAGTGTATGTGTCGAATACCTTGGCAATACAGTGTCACAAATCTGGAATGAAATGGTCACATGTGCATGTCAACTTTTGTACCTACAAGTCTGTGTGTTGAATAACCTAACAGTGTTGAATAACTTTACCTGTGTGTGTATCGAATACCTTGACAATACACAGTGACTCAAATCTGGAATGAAAGGGTTACATATGCATGTGAACCTTCCTACCTACAAGTTTGTGTGTTGAATAACCTTCTTCTTCTTCTTCTTCTTCGTGTTTACCAGCTGTACACTCTGGCGGAAAGTTCTGCTTGCTCGTCCATTACTGAACTGCAGTCCTGCTCCAGAACCTGAGTGTTGCGTGTGCATCAGTTTTACAGATCTCATTCTCCTGAATACAGACTGTTGGTTCCTTGTCTCTCTGGCAGATGCACTCTGATTTCAAAGGAAGCTCCCCAATTAGTCGACTCTTACGACATGCTTTTGGGGAGGCAGTGGGTCTATTCTTGTTTTCCCCACAATCGGGCCCCGGAACCCACAGGGGGGGGGGGTTGAATAACCTAACAGTGTTGAATAACTTTACCTGTGTGTGTATCGAATACCTTGACAATACACAGTGACTCAAATCTGGAATGAAAGGGTTACATATGCATGTGAACCTTCTTACCTACAAGTCTGTGTGTTGAATAACCTAACATGACACAGTGTTGCAGATCTGTGATTTCCATCTTCCCAACTGATGCTTGTATTGAGTTGCAGCATGACTAATTGCATCTGTGTTTATGCTTTAACCTTTTCAGATGTTCCAGCTGTTACAAAGCATTACATCCATGGGTATAGTCATTATTCTTTATTTTCTCTTGACTGTAGGTCATTGTGAATCTTTTCTTCATTGTTGCTTGCAGTGATTTCAGACTGAAGTCTCGCGCTACTTTTACCTCACATTTCTGCATGATTAGCATTGATGTTGTGAAAGTGAATGAGTAGATGTAGCTTGTATTATGGTCATGTTTTTTTTTTTTTTTTTTTTTTTGGAGGGGGGGGGGGGGGGGGGGGGGGGGGTATTTTTTTGGGGTAAACATTGAACCCATTGCATTTTTTTTCAAATAATTCATCATACATTGAGTGAATTTTAGTGTGGTAAGGTTGCAAACATGCAATGCATAAATAGAAAAACAATGAGTGGAGTTGGTCAGGTTTGCAAGAACACCATCAGAAATTAAAGATGTTTCCGCAGCAAACAAAAGACCAAGATACAGTATTTTAATTTACAGGATAAAGCTCAAATGATGTACTTTTCAAAATATTTCCTGTCATCTTATGTAAAACCACTAATTTGTTTTCTTCTTTGCTTCTTGCCAAAATGTTATTTATTTTGTTTGTGTTCACCGGCAGAATGTTCAGTTTTGTGGGTATAAACATGGACTTTGGCTTTCTTCCAAAGCCTGAATGCACATCTGTTTTACAGATATTTTCATGCAGACTGTTGGTACCTTGCCTGTCAGGCAAATGCACTCTGACTTTGAAGGAAACACCTCTAATTAATCACCTGTTATGGCATGCATGTTTGGAGAGAGTGAGTCTTCTCTTATTTTCTCCTCAACGATGCCTAGGAACCCACATGGGGGGCTCCTGCAATAACCTTGAGGACCCTTTCAAGGATGAATGCAGAGGAAGAAGAATTGAATCACCCCCATTCCCAAGTAGGATTAATGTTTGGTTGATTCAAAGCCCCACCCCGGTTGTAGTCTGACGCCTTAATATAACTTAACGGTTAAACAGGGTTTCTGGGACATCTTCTTGGGTGAACCTCATCCGAATGGTGGCACTTTGTGTCACCAGGTGTTTATCGCTCATGTGATGTCATAGTGGAGTTAAAAGTCAGTCAGTCAGAAGAATAATAATTGAGGAACTATGCATCTTCTAACTTGCATTAAGTAAAAGTAAAAA